CAGAACCGACACTTGGATTGTTCAAAGTACAATGGCGAATGCCTCACGTTGCGTTGAATAAAATTAATAAACTATTCATGCTACGAGCCTTGGAAAGTGGACGATATCTGTGTATGGGTTCTTGAGAACTATGAGTACTATTGCGAATACAACGAAGCATTCCTGGGCCATCGAGACTGCAAGTCAACTAGAAAAATCGCGATATGTTATCTTTGGTCTACAGTCTGATAAAAAAATATCATGACAGCGCGTAAAATTTACTTCAATAACTGTAAATTTACCAATGTAAAAAAAAATTTATCTAAACTCTGAATTTTATTCGTATGATGATCTGAATCTAAACTTTAACAAACGGAGCTGTTATTTTGTATGATATGTATGTACATTTCCGTACGTCTTATTATCAAATCCCTCGTGAAAGGAATGAACCGTCATTTCAATTAAACTCCTTTTTTGATAGGTCATACAGTAATCATTAACTGCTCGCGACAAAATGAGTCCGTCAAGTGGTATCGTGGATGTACAATTAGAATTTGAATTTAAAGTGAATGTATCCGCGAATACTACAACCTGTTGCCTCATCATACACGAACGCGTGATCAAATACCATACAACCCAATGTCCAATGTAGTACGCAAGATTACATAAATCGTTTTCAAAAGAATAATACCATCTCCGCACTTTTCGATATAAGTGATAATAGTCATTTTTTCCTGATCAAGCATAGTCTCCAAAAGTCATTCGCTGTGGCTATACCAATATAATTTGTAGATCTGCAAAAATTTGTCGTTGGAAGAAAATTTATTATAAAGGAAATGGCGGTCCTGAGAAAAGGAACTATTTTCTCTCTTACCTTTTTACGCCCCCATGCCATGGAATATCTTGAAAAGTCTTGTGCTTTGTGGTTGAGTGCTTATCACTATGGATTGCAATGGAAAGACAGAATGATTCCGTACAACATGACGAAATGTCTGATTATAATGGCTATAATTGATGCGGAAAAAAATGACAACAATAAGGCTCTCGTATATGTTAAAGGACTTCAAAAGACGTGCATGGTTGGCTGGTATACTTGATAGTGACGATATGACCATTGAAACCTTAGACGTTGATTACGAAGATATAGAACTTTATGAATAAGATATTACTAATACTAATAATATTACTAATACTAGATATTACTAATGCTATGCGATGTGGAAATCATGCTAAAAATTGTGTGTTACAGAATGTATTTAAAATATACAACTGGTGGTCGCAACATCAAAAAAAATTGTCTCAATTTGAAAAATAAAGTGTGAGATTTTTTTTTAAATACATTTTAATTTCTTTTCCAGTACTTAAGAATTAATATATAACAGTTATTCAGTAGTGCGATGCGATAAGTACTCAAGTTAGCAAGTAAGAAAGTGTCACGCTTCGCAATCATATATTTGTCTTATACTATTAAAAATTAATTTTTTGACTGTGTTACGTCCAGACTCCACAGTTCTTTTCTTCGACAAAAAACTTTCGTCATCACAAAGAATTAGTGAGCAGTAAACCACTTGAAATAGGAGCTGAGAGCAATAAATGCTCGTTTTAAACTAACAACCCATCCGGGACTGAACCGTTGGATTAGATATTTTGAACCAAGTACCAAATAGACAAACCTTATCTCGAGGACTATAAAATGAAATAAGAGCTGAGAACAATAAATGCTCAGTTTTTAACTAATAAACCACTCGGGACAGAACCGTTGGGTTGATATTGGAACCAAGGGCCAGATAGGCGAAACTTAAGAACAAACAAACTAGGCTTTGTAAAATGAAACAGCGGGTGTGAGCAACAAATGACATGTGGCTCGCATCTATTAGACACTCGAGAAACGGTCGATGACGAAAGTTATAAACAATATCCCTAATCCTGGATTGGCTCAGCAGTACACGTACTCCGCTCTCGGCGTCACTAACTCGCCATATAAAAGGAGAGGTCCTCCACGAGGAGCGTCACTTCTTTTTCGGGACTCGGCAGTTATTAGACTTCTCCTTCGGGACTCGACTGTTATTAGACTTCTCCTTCGGGACTCGGCAGTTAGTCGTAACAATCATTATTCCTTCGGGACTCGTCATATTCATTCGGTACTCATTATAAAGTCACCGGTTAAACTCCATCCCCGAGGTTGCCAATACGCGATACGCGTTGAAGTGACTCGACCGAAGCTTCCACATCCGAGTGCCAACCTTCCGAGGAGTCCTGAGGCCAACGACTTCGACTGCTAGATCTACCCACATCCGCAGAATACAACAATAGTAAGTCCTATATACACACATACACACTCACCCGCGTATATATAAAAAACCCAACCACTATAATTTACATCAAATTATAGTGCCGCGTCCGAACCGTCCTTTCAAAGGGTGGCTACGAAGCCGGGCCTACCGGGAGGCACGGAAACTCTTAGACGAAGAGTTCAAGAGGTATCTCGGGAGCTCACAAGAGCAGAATCGTCCGGTCGAAGGTCGCCTACCACCAGTACCATCCGGGTCACCACCGGCTCCGCCGGCAAATCACCCCGATACCGCTTCCCCAATACCGCTTCCGCCTCAAACACCTTCGCCTTTACCACCTCAGGCACCTCCTTCTCCTCCCCCTCGAACTCCTTCACCTGCGTTTTCGGACGCACTGACAGAAAGAATCCTTCCCGATTTGCATCCACTATCATCCGATTCGTTCCACCCAACTTCCCCCAGAAGTCCATCTCCGACGAACTCCACGGACAGCGTGGAGTTCCTAGAGGAAATTCCTCCACCCCCACCTAGATCCTACTTCCGGATCCTGGAGAGTGACACTTTCGAGTCACTCATCTCTCAATTCCCGCGGGTTACTACCGCATCTATCCCTCAGGGGGCCTACACTATCGGCCCTCACTACTTTGATCCTCATGAAATCAGAAATGCCATTACCGGTCGAAGCCCTACCTCAAATATCCCCGTATTCCTCCCAAATTCCCCCAATGCAATATTAGTGCCTGTAAGATTTTTCCATAATCTTTTCCCCCCTTCCTCCGTTTCCATCCTTGAAGTATGTTAACCCAAATCTATCCGATCCCCCCCCCTTTTTACACAATGTATAATTTAGATGTTATAAAAGCGTAACCGTTTTTGAAATAGACATACTGTGTGCTAATAACCATAATGTATAGAGTAGACGTAATAAATATTATTATATAAACGATTAGCATATAATTGCGTGATTTCCTATTGTCAATTAGCCATAATAAATAATGTTACTCATCATTTATCTCGTTCTCATCTTCTATTTTTAAAACCCGCCTAATAGAACAACGACCTCGTAAACACTAAACCTTGCCCTTTCAAAGATTGCACGTGGTCCATTCCCGAGTTAAAGGGATTTTTCCTTGACTCGAAATTCGGACCGACGATCGCACCGCCCGTAGGAAACAGGCGTCATAGCGTCTTTACGAGACGTTGACCCATATTCCGAAGCGGACAAAAAAAAGGGTGCGTTCGACTCGCCGGTGTTTGTTTCCAGGCAAATATCTGCGAGACTAGAGTCTGACCGTCCTTCCACGCTCCATCCTTTTCTACTCTCTTCTCTCTCTCTCTCTAAAAACCCACTTTTCCGGAGTTTGGACGTAACAACTGAGACATATAATTTTAACATGACATTTTTTTCTATAAATGATATCTTGCAAATATGTTTATGTTTTTGTCGTGTCTTTCAGATATGGTATCTTTTTATATACTTTTGACCGAGAGGCAATGCTAAGGATTCTTTTAAAAAATATTAAATATCCAGGGAGAGACCATTTCAATTGAATCAACTAAATCCTTTGAATATGGGTAAGCAAATCTTAGGTCAATGCAATAAAACAGGTCCAAATACACGTAAGTCACGTACAATTTTATTGCTATACCTACATTTTCGTGTAACTTCTAACAGTCAATCGAACAGTGTGTCAGTATGTCAGTAAATTTTGTCAATGCAACAGTTTTACTAACAGTTTTGCTAACAGATTTAGAGTAAAAAATTAGTTTCAATTTAATTTAAAAAATATGCGATTTACGAGAAGTACTAGAAATTACTTATGAATATCCGGTTCGAAGAGTAAGTATTACTATACGTGTGTGATTTTTATCTTTAAGTGTGATTTTTTTAATGATTCTTTTTTTAATTTAAAGACATCATGATTAACAATGAGCTTATGGAAAAGTACACTTAAAAACGAATTAGGAATACAAATAGTGCCTCTGATGAGTAAAACTGTGCTTTTATGTACACCATTTTTCAAATGTACTTTTTTAACTTAATAATACAATATTTATAGTATTTATTCATTTTTATCAAAATGTCTATTGTTACTTAGAGAATAAATAATTAATATATTTATAACTTCTCTAATCAGAATGTCAAGATAACGTTAACGTTTTTTTTTTACAAAGAATCGCAAAAAAGCCATTTCTTGTATGTTTAATTTCAGTTATTTTAAAAACCTTATATGTGTGCTGAAAAAATTTGGTTTGCGGCGTTAATTTCAATACTGAGAAGTCTAAAAAAATACCTCATTTGGTCCAAAGTAATTTCTTACTGTAAATTGTAGCATAATCTTTTAAATTGTGTAAAATATTTTGATTTTGGAAATGATATAAGATAATCGGTCACACACTTTTATGTGATAAAATTAAAACGTTTTTTCTATATAACGTTAGCCTGTTGTTAAATTTTGCCTGTTGTTAGATTTTTTTCTTTCTCGAATAAGCTGTAAGAAAAGACACGATGTTCAAAGGTCACATAGTACAGATTTTTCATGTAATGGATATCGTATATCACGTCTGATTGGTTACACGATTGTGCATTATGTGTTTAATTATGTATGCCTCTTGATAGTTAAATTTGTGCGTTATTTTAATTAATACATGATTAACTGTTTTAGCGTGGATTCGTAAATTGTTTCTTCGTATTCACAACATAAATATCTTTAAGATTTTGTAAAGCAATTACTTGGTAATAAATACCAAAATGGTAGGCAATAGCGTGACATGTACAAATGTGACGGAATCAGCACCGGCGGTGAAATCTGGTAACTCGGGTGCCGTGCCATTCTCATAATATTGATAATTTTTAACGCCTACGTGTAATCGAATAAGACGATAGTTGGGCATGTTGATATCAACGCGATTATTTAAGAAGTTTTGCAGCATATTGGTGACGCACCAAAAATTGCCGTCTTCGTCAAATGTGAAACTGTCGGGCCACTGCGTCAATACATCATCGCGCGATATAATTCGTTGATCGACAGTAAAAGATGGTGTATTCTTGGTATCCCACATAGCGATAGCATCGTCAGCTAGTAACGATAAAGCTAGTAGACCAAAGTAAAGTACACCAGTAGACGACATCGCCATGCCATCCGTTTGCGAAGTCTTCCGTCCAAGTTCTTTCACGTATTGATCGATATTTGACAAATTGTTCGTCAGAGCAAATACCGGAACCGAATACAGATGAAAAGAAGATAAAGGCGAATAGTAGAGTTGTCTGAAACAAATTCGATTGTCGCTTGTTAGAAAATTATACTCAAATTTCGAATATAGAAAAATGATATGTTTACAATACTATTGACAAAGAATTTTAATAACACAATAATAATTAGTAAGGAGCATATAAGCCAGCACTGACTGTCGATGTAAAAAAACCTCAAGTAAAACAACAACGTTTATAAAATGTTTAGGAATAGTTATTTTTATTTTAAAACTATTTAAGGTTATTTTTATAAGCCTAAAATCTTTTGAACTGTTTAGGAACTGGTTAAATAATTATGTTGTTTTTTACAAATGTTTTAAATTCATTGATTTTTAAGATAAAATATGAGTGGAAAGACTAAATGAGTGGTGAAGGATCGCATCTTAGCATATGCATATTTTATAAACGTATATATCAATATAAAAGTTATGCTTTTTGCGGGTTTCCTCCGTATCCAGATCCATTCTTAAAATACGAACGTTTCGGGAACCTTGCAGTTCACTTCATCAGGGCGAAGAGCAACTTGATACTGAGCTGTTTCTCCGGGCCATTCCTTTTTATATTATGCTACTTGTTGAAGTGGTGGAAAAGAAGAGAATTGTGAGTGAGAGCGGGGAGAGGGGGGGGGGAATTGGTCAGTTTTCAATAACCAGGAAAATAGTTTTCCATATTTTATTTATATTGTAGCCATTATCTCTATTTAAATTGTTAGGATGTTTTTGTATCTCTATGGCTTCTCTATACTTTCTTGGAAAGTATGAAGTAATGTTGGCTATTGTGGCCGCTTTATCAAATTGTATTTGATGTCCTGTTTCAATGTTGTGTTCTGATAATGCTCACTGCGTGACGTGTTTTAGTCTGATATCACGTTGGTGTTTTTTATCCGTAAGTTGACCAATCCCTGTTTCTCCAATGTATACTTGCCCTCAGGAACAAGATATTTTGTATACTCTTGCGGAGCTAAGTGGAGGTCTTTGATCTTTAAGATTTCTTAAGATTTGTCCTATTTTTTTGGGTGGTTTAAAGATAATTCGGATATTGTGTTTATTTAATATTTTGCCAATCCGATCTGTTGTTCCTTTGACATATGGAGAATGGATAGAATCTTTTCGTCTGGTTGTGTGTCAGAGACCGTTGTCTTATTTGCATGTTTATTAATTGTTTTGATTATGTCTTTTTTGTCGTGTCCGTTTTTCTGTAAGGCTAGTTTTAAGTAGTTGAGTTCTGTCTGTAGATGTTCTTTATCAGAGATGGTGATAACTCTATGTACAAGTGAGTTGATTGCAAAACTGTTTGTGTGATGGGTGGTGATGCGATTCGGCATCTAGGTATCTATCTGTGTGTTGGTTTTCTGTACACTTGATGGGTATTATCAGCTTTCTTAGAGACAAGAACATCTAGGAAGGGGAGTTTTCCGTTTTCTTCTATAGTGAAGTGGATATTTAGATATTGATTGTTGAGAATAAGGAATTTACGGAGTTCGGCTCTGCCGTGTCTCCGACACGAATATGTCGTCTACAGAACCAAACTTCTAATTTCTTAGGTGTTTTTCCGAGGACCTCTTTCTCAAAATGCTCCATGAAGATGTTGGCGATTACAGGAGAAATAGGAAAGCCCATTGCCGCTCCTGAAGTTTGTTCATAAAATTGGTTATTATAGGTTGTTATGGCTTCTTTATACTTTCCAAGAAAGTATAAAGAAGCCATAGAGACACAAAAACATCCTAACAATCTAAATAGAGATAATGGCTACAACATAAATAAAATATGGAAAACCATTCTCCCGCTTATTGAAGACTGATCAATTCTTCCCCTCCCCCCTCTCCACTCCTTTCTTTCCCACAATTTTCTTCTTTCACTCTAACAAATAGCGTAATATAAAAAGGAACGGCCCGGAGGAACAGTTCAGTATTAGGCTGCTATTCGCCCTAATGAAATGAACTGCAAGGTTGGAACTGATAGGTTGGCATTTCAAGAATGGATCTAAACATGGAGGAAACCCGCGAAACGCATAATTTTTATATAGAAAGCACCCATGGAAGCTTCAAGAATATTAAACGTATATATAGTTTCCATAACCGTAAGAAACCAATAGGAAACTTTGTATCGATAGAAATGTTTATGCAACCATGATTTTAAAACGTAATTTTAACGTTTCTACCTTGCTAAAAATTCCAGTTATGTCCATATAAAAAAGTATATACATTTACATCAGAATAGATATGAACAAATCAATTTTTATTTGGCATAAAATCTATCAAAGTAAATATTAAATCTGGTTATATAAGCATTTCCATTTCATGGTACATAGTTGGATTCTCTGATAAAAATGTTTTCTGTTGACATCCGCAATTCCAAATACATTAGGACATGCAAGGAATTTATGACATAAAGTTTACTGGTATTTATCAGAAAATAACATAATCCGATTTATGTAAGTATAATATTTTCATGTTTAAATTAGTAATGAGTTATTACGGGATATGGGTTTCCTAATAAAAGATTGATCTGCAATTGCATGGAAATTTGTATTCAATTAAAAATACAATAGATAATAAACGGAATTCCAGAGACCGATATGTGTGCATAAGCGTATATACGAGCTCGTATAAGTAAATACAGTGGTAGTAGATATCTGGTACCATTTGCAAATTTTGTGTATTATTTATATATAGTTATATTCAAAACAAGATTCTTTTTCAACAGTGGTTCAAACTGGCGACCTATTGTACCCTTTCTTACATTTGTGGACACGGTGAGGATTGGAAATTCTTGGCACGTAGTCTTCGGATTTCATATACATTTCCATGCATTACTTGTATACGGTTATATTTAGAAATTAATTTAATATGCATTTCATCCATAGTAATACTTTTACGCGGTTATATTTGGAAATCCAAGATTCAATCAACGCTGGTGATAACTGTCCATCCAATTTTATTTTTCGAAATTATATGAACACGATCAAAATCAATCTGCGATTTGTAGTGAGCTGCACGTAAATCTGTGCATTACTTTTACGAGGTTCTAGTAATTGAATCATGTATGTGTAATATGCTTTCGAGAATGCTTAGCTTAAAGCATTTGAAGTCGGCTGGAAAAATGTAATGTAAGGTATAGTAAAAAGAAATCTATTATTTTTGCATTAAATTGAAGGCTTTATTTAGCATAGTTAGAATGATCCGATTTAGGTCAAATATGCACCGTTTTGTTCGATAACTTGTTGCCATTTTGAAGGTAATTTCATTATGCCTCTCTCATAGAAACCCTCGTCTCTATTGGCAAAAAACTGGGACAGTCGATTTTCACAAGCTTCTCTTGAGGCGAATTTTTCAC